ATTGTGCAGGTCATGCCCTCGATGTGGTCTTCTGCATGGATCAGGCATGTCCGTGAGCGGAGTTAATTAGCATCTCCACATTGTCGTGGACGGATCATTTCCTGGTTAAGGTTGGAATGAAGGCCACCAACCCTCCCTCCAGGGGTGGAAGACTGATTAGAATGGTCCGCCCTCGAAGGCTGATGGAACCCATTAGATTCCAAGAAGCCCTAAGGGGTTCCATGGTTGGCAATGCCAGCAATTCTGCTGAAGCTCTGGTTAATATGTGGAATAACAATCTTACCAGAGCTGTAGACACGATCGCTCCCAAGCGACCTTTCCAACCTGAAAAAGATTGCAATCCATGGTACACTGAAGATCTTAAACAAATGAATCACCACTAGAACGCCGTTGGCTGAAATCTCAACTCTTATTCAATAAGACACTTCATTGGACTTTTCTTAGGTCCTATCAAATGGCGATAGACGCAGCTAAGAAATCTTTCTATTCTGCATCTATCACATCTGTGAATTCCTGCCCAGCTGAGCTGTTCAGGGTGGTGAGGAATTTAACTCAATTGCCTCCCAACCAGAACCCTCTATTAGAACCAACTACAGCTTGCTGTGACACTTTTAATGATCATTTCACAGATAAAATCTCTCGGATAAGAGCTGACCTGGATGCCAACTTTAAGTCAGTAGCAACTAGAGAGGTATCCAGCGCCTCCGCCATGACTGTCAGACTGGATCAATTTGAGTTGGTAAGTACTGAGGATGTTGACAAGCTCCTTGGTAGTTTGAAAAAGATGACCTGCCCTCTCAACCCTTGCTCAATTTGGATGGCAGTCCAGGAGGGGTGATACTATCAAGTTAATGCTGAAAAATGTAAATAATGCATCCTTCAGGGAGAGGTCCCTGCTTTCTTGTCTTAAGGAGGTAGTTGTTAGACCACTCTTTAAAAAGCCCTCTCTGGATGCCCTGGACAGAAATAATTATAGACCTGTTTCGCTGTTGCCATTTTTGAACAAGGTGATCAAGAAGGTGGTCACCAATTAACTACAAGTTGTCTTGGAGGAAACAAATTTTCTGGATCCATTTCAAACTGAATTCAGGCTGGGGTATGGAGTTGAGACTACCATGGTCACCTTAGTCGATGATCTCCGTCTGGGTATTGACAGGGGAAGTGTGACCCTGTTAGTGCTTTTGGACCTCTCAGCAACCTTCGATACCATAGACCATGGTATCCTTCTGGAACGCCTGAGAGAGTTGGTTATTGGCAGTGGTTCCAGTCCTACTTCTCGGGTAGGTTCCAGATAGTGTCACTTGGGGACAGTTGTTCAGCCAAGAGGGAGCTCAAATCGGGCATCCCTCAAGGTGCGACTCTGTCCCCAATGCTATTCAACATTTACATGAAGCCACAGGGAGAGATCATCCGGAGGCATGGGGCAGGGTGTTATCAGTACGCTGATGACACCCAAATATATTTCTTTGTCTCAGACTGATGCAGTGACTAAGGATGTGTCTCCTTTGAATGCCTGTCTTGGGGCGGTAATGGACTAGATGAGGGAAAAACGACTCAAGCTGAATCCAGGTAAGACGAAGGTACTTGTCATAGGAGACCTGAACCCAGGAATGGAGTTATGTCAGCCAGTTCTGGATGGGGTCACACTTCCCTTGAAGGACTCTGTCTACAGCATGAGGGTGATCCTTGACACATCGCTTCACTTGACAGCTCAGACGGATGTGACAATCAGGAACTCTTGTTATCAGCTTCGGCTGATACACCAGCTGTGCCCCTTCCTGGAGCAGCGAGACCTTGAAACAGTAGTACATGCACTAGTAACCTATCAATTAGACTTCTGTAATGCGCTCTACATGGGGCTACCCTTGTGCCAAGTTCAGAAACTTCAGCTTGTACAAAATATGACAGCCAGGTTGCTTACAGGTACTTCTCGTAATGACCATATAACACCGGTCCTGAAGTCTCTTCACTGACTGCCAATTAGTTTCCAGGCAAGGTACAAGGTGTTGGTTATTGCCTTTAAAGCCCTACATGGCTTGGGACCAGAATACTTAAGGCAGGGGTAGGCAACCTTTCCTCTTTAAGGGCCAAGGGACTTCACCTCCCAGAATCCCAGGAGCTATTGGCCAACATGGGACTATTGGCCAACATGGCTGAGGCTTCTGGGAGCTGAAGTCCTTCGGCCCTTAAAGGGGAAAGGTTGCCTACCCCTGACTTAAGGGATCGTCCGTCCCACACACTCTCGGGTATATGCTGTATATACTTACCTGAGGACTGAGCTATGCTGGAATTTCCCTTCTCTGTATGCCACCAGTGGGAACAATACATTGTGTGAGGACATAGCAAACAGAGCCAGCATGGTTTAGTGGTTTGAGCATTGGATTACGATTCTGGGGATCAGGGTTTGATTCCCTGCTCAGTCATGGAAACTCACTCAGAGACCTTGGACGAGCCATACACTTTCAGCCCAGAAAACCTCTTAATGTCACCATAAGTCAGGAACAACTTGAAGGCACATAACAATATAGGAAACGACCTTCTCTGCTATAGCATTCCAAATGACTTTAAAGGCCCATTTTGAGCTGACATTTGCTTCATTTTGGCATCAAAATTAAAACATGCCTTTTTACTAAAACTTTTGGAAATTAATGCTTTTGTTATCCAGTCCACGTATGTACATGATTTCAATTTGTTTTAAATGAGTTATATAGTTTTATTTATTTATTTGCTTTTAAATAATGAGACTCAAGGCAGCTAATATCATGTTTAAAAACAATACAGACTAAAAATGTATATAAAAACTTCAATACAAGTAAAAATATAAAAGTTATTTTAAAACAAACAATTTATACAATTAGAATCATTGAATTGTAGAATCATAGAGCTGGAAGAGACCTCAAGGACCATCGAGTCCAACCTCTGTCATGCAGGAATTCACAATCAAAGAACCTCCGACAGATGGCCATCCAGCCTCTGTTTACAGACCTTCAAAGGAGACTCCATCACTCTCCAAGGCAGTGTGTTTCACTGTCAAACAACTCTTACTGTCAGGAAAATCTTCCTAATGTTGAGGTGGAATCTCTTTTCCTGTAGTTTAATATAATATAATATAATAATATGCCCAAAGTACCACAGTTTAGTCATCTTGTTGACATTCCTTCCTCCACTTTTTACACCTCCTTCCTCTGACTCTAATCCTCCTTTCTTTATGATATGTTTTGTGTATAAATTAACCAGGTAGGGTGATAAAATGCAGCCTTCCTTGTCCTCTTTGCCAATTGGAAACCATTCGTTTTTTCCCTATACTACTTTGACACCACTGTCTTTGGAGTGAAGGCGATGCATCAGGACAGATGTTGTGGCATATCATTTATTTTAGAGTGATCCATAGTTGGGTTTTTTTTATGTTCTGTGTTCACATCCTGCATTCACACATTGAATACCAACTGAATACCAACATTGGCCAGTACACAATCAGCTGTTTAGTGCCTGTTTATTGTCCCACTGTGCAATGAGGAATGCACAACAGCTGTTCCTATAATGTCAATGAATCAAGTGGTGCATTGAAGGCACAAATAATTAAGCACCATCCAAGAATACACAACTGCATGGCTAGCATCCTCTTGCTTAGTCCTAACTAGGGTAGACCCATTGAATCAATTGGTGAATAGTGAATCCATACATAGGTAGATCTAATTGATTCAATGGTTTTATTTAAGTCAGGACTAACAATAGGATTTAGGCTCTTCGGAATTGGTTGCACCTATAGAACTTCATTTTGCTCCCTGTCCTCAGGCTTAAAATCTTTAAAAAGACAAAAATTAAAAAGGTCAGCATTTAGTGATGGCTTCCATGTCAATGAGAGGGTGCACTTTGGATTTTAGTGCACTTTAAAGGATGTATTGACATTGATGAGCCCTATCTCCAAAACCAGTTCATCATCTTGGATAACTCATTAACTACAATGGATCCACTGCTCCACTGATATTGGAGGAATAATAAATAATAATAATAATAATAATAATAATAATAATAATAATAATAATAATAATAATTTTTATTTGTATAGCGCCCTATGGCGAACCAATCCAGGCGGTGAACAAGAATAAAATACATACAATCTAAAACAATATAATTCCCTCCTCCCCCCTTAAAAAGTTATTAAATCAGACTCAATTAAAACAGTGACATTTAAACACTGACAGTATAAAATTGTAAGTACAAACCAGACAAACAAACAACCCCTGCTAAAGTAACCACTGAAAAATAATGCTAAGGGGTAAATTAAATCACAGACAAGATGTTAGCATATGTAGAACTGGGAATTCTACTTCTGAACCTGAAAAATTCACAATTCACCGTGAATGCAAGTGATAACAGTAGTAATCCATAATGTACTCAGTTTAATGTCACTAAGACAGGACAGGGGAATAGTATTCATCAACCTCAGAACACATGATCCCGGATGAGAGGAATGGTGCTTCATTTAAATTGGGAGAACCGCAGACTCCCTAGTGCCATTCTAAGAGTACCCACAGCTCCAATCTCTTGCTGTTTCTGCTTTCTTTCCTGCATAGAGTGGTCCATGAAAGATATATATCATTAAAGGCCCTAGTCCATACTTGCTGTTTATCATTCTAGCATATGTTTGGACTCCACACATTTGGGCAATTACATTATCCAAGTTCATGTTTAGTTCAGCTTTGCTCTCCTTCTCCCCCCCCCCCCCACTTTTTGCTGAGTTTGTAAAATAAACCTACTTCTGCCAGCTCACTCTTATTCTCAGACTGTGGGGTTGACATTCCTAGAAACCCTGACTTTGCCAGGAAAGGCAGCCACAAAAATTGTCGCTCTCAGGACTTTGCAGCCAGTAAAGAGCAACAAAAACCACAAATCACTTCCTTCTCAGAGTGGGAAATGGAAAGGAAAGGGCAGACCTTGGACATTTCAGCCAAGAGCTGATTTGGAATCTGTGTCATGGTGCAGGTAGTGGTGAGGAAGATGTCACCACAGAAAACAACAACTGGTTTCCCAGTTGCCAGGAAGGGGTGAGTAGAGCATTGCTTCCTATGCAGATCACGGAGACAAAAATGTACACAAACAAGAGATATTATCTCCTAGGGATGTTCAATATACAGACCTAGTGGCCTATATCCAACTGATATTCCCAAACAGGTTCCACCCAAGGAATCAATGGAAATGTTGGATTACCAGGTTGCCATTGATTCGGTAGCTTTATTCTAGTTGGAATTAACTATTGGATTTAGGCCACTGAGATCAATGGGAGCTATGAAAGGCCAAAACAGAACATAATGCAGATACAGTGCCAATTCATTATTGATGTGCATATAGAAGTTACAGATTTTCCTACATGGTGGTGGGAACAAGTCCCACAAATAGTATTTTTCCTTAATAATAATAATAATAATAATAATAATAATAATAATAATAATAATAATAATAATAATAATTTATTTTATATTTATATCCCACCTTTTGCTGTGGCAATCAAGGCGGCTTACATATAAAATTAGATTAAATAAAACTTGCCCTATAATAAACAACAATAATCACAAATACAGTTAACCCCCTCTTTAAAATATATAAAATACAAAATACAAAAGTAAAACATAGGCTTAAAACAACAGGCATTCTGGGATACCAATAAAATGCAGAGAGGATATCTAACAAGGAGGGGAAGCCAAGTTAGGTAGAGTGATCAACAACTAGATAACAACAAGAGTCCAAAAATAAAGAAGGAATGTTTTATTTTTTATATTTTTTTTGTTTTTTCTTCTTTTAATTTTCTTTTTCTGATGATAACATAAAACTAAGTGTTAAGGAGGACAACGATAGTAGATAATCCAGTGAGGACAAGTGAGAAGTAGGTGTGATTGGTAAGATGAAAGGAGAGGTATTAAGGAGGAGATGGAAAGTTAGTAGGAAGATATGAGTAAGTAGTAGAGGGTGTGCGAATGTAGAGAAAGAAGCAGAAAGTCTAAAAGAAATGGAGAAGGGTAGGGATAGAGAGGGAAGATAGAGGAAGGAACATATGGGTGAAGGTGAAAAAGTATAGAAGGGAAGATGAAGGAATGGTGGGAAGGAGGATGTGTAAAGGTTATGAGAGAAGAGCAGTACAATCATAAGAACTGATGCATTATTAGACAAGAAAGTTACCTGAATCAAGTTTTAGTAGCATCGGCATTAATAATGTGATGTAATGTAATGTAGGTACATAGCAAGTATGTACAAATATTAGATTGTATGTATGTCTGTTTGTATGTTCTAATGTGTTTTTTTTTCTTTCAATAAAATGTATTTTAAAAAAACATGCCTGACTCTGTACATAAAATATGAAACCCCATATTCATTAAGAGGGGTGTAGGGCAGGGGTCAGCAACCTTTCCCCTTTAAGGGCCGAGGGACTTCAGCTCCCAGAATCCCAGGAGCTATTGGCCAACATGGGACTATTGGACAACATGGCTGAGGCTTCTGGGAGCTGAAGTCCCTCGGCCCTTCAAGGGGAAAGGTTGCTACCCCTGGTGTAGGGTATGTTAACAGTACATGATTGCTGTATTTAAACACCGTAATGGTTTTCCTTCTAGCAGCTGGGTTCACTTAGGGCCAGTACAGACCAGTCAAAAGGGTCAGCCTGGGGGTGGAGTCGGGGTGTGGTGACCATACGCCATCCACCCTGACTCCATCCCCACATTGTCCTCACACTGCCTGCCCAAACAGATGGCGGGCAGCATCAGGGTTCTCCCTTGGTGCAGCGTTTAGACACACTGCACCAAAGAAGTGCAGAAAAGCCACTGCCACGATGGCAAGGGTGGTTTTTTGCCACTCCAAAAAGGAGTGGCATTTGCCAACTCTTTTTGGAGCAACAAAGTGCCGGATCAGGGCTGTGGTGTGCAGTTACCATGGCCCCGATCTGGTGCTCCCAGGGGCGGCATGCAGCCACCCCTTAGGGGCCATCTGTAGAGCCCCTTAGTTTTCCCCATTACAAAATATGCCACAGCAAACCACACATGAGAGGGTGGTCACGTTGGCTAGGAGAATTCCAGGGGATCACAGCCCTAAAAGATAACTTTTCCAGCATCAGATTCAGTTCAACATTGCTTGAGTTTGTTGTATGGGTTAATGTCCCAAGTGCTACTAAGTAAAAATAATATAAAATAAAATAATCGGTTCTGCTCCTTATTTTTTTAAAAAGCCATTTTTTTAAAGAATCCAAATCAAGTGGTAATGGGGGGCAGGAAGCCAGATAAAAACAATCCACCCCCCTTCACAAAGAAAATGATCATATTAAGGAAAGCCTTCTCTCTTCAATGAACTATAGTCAAAGATTTTATCCACAGTGGAGTATTCAAACAAGTAACCTCCACTGGTAGTCTGATAACCAAAGATATTTTGATATCTGATG